ATTTCACTGTTTCAAAGGACGAGATTGCTGCATTCAAGTGGAGTAAGAGAAGAGTCAAGAAATGTGAAGAAGAAGGGGGAAGTCTTGAAGGTACGTGCATCTTGTTGGATCTTTGTGTGATTTATATTGACCAACTATCTTTCTGAAATAGTCAGAATACTGCGTAGATGTCCATGGTATGAGGAGCTGGAGCCGGTACTTCGAGATCGACCATCTGCCAGCCCTTTGGCCTCTAGAGATTCGCTAGGTGATCAAGTACAGCGTTCGACAAATTTGATCCAAGATGAACCATCTTGATGAGCGTACAGTATTTTTCGATGATCATCACAAATTATAAGAGAATTCAAAGCGTAGATCGACTTTCGAGTGTAGTAATCCTCCTTGTTTTTGGAGGGAGCGTACGCTAATGGTACCAAAGTTCCATCAATAAACCCAACACAATCTTGAAACCAAGAAGTCCGACCGATACGTTGCTTATTTTCAGCTCGCTCATCAGCATTTGGCCATCGTACAAATTCTGACTCAAGTTCAAGAATAGCATGGATACAGCGTTTAGTATAATTTTCCACACTTCCCTCTTCCAAGAATCAAGAACCAAGCATTAGTCTAAAATCAAAAGAGAAGAGTTTTACAGCAGAATGTTTTGCAAACCTGACACGTAGAACGTCTTTGCCTTCATACTACAGGATCCTCCATTTCCGTATAACCCTAAATTAGCCAAAGCCACTAACAGCTGCCACTGGACCGGTGCCTGATTACAAGTTGAGTTATTGTGAAAGATAGGACACCATGCGATTTGGTGAAGAAGTTTTGTAAACGCATCCTTTGACATGCGTGCCTAACAGTTTGAGACAGTAGATGATCAAATAATCAATTCACAGGAGGATGTATATACTTAGTGACTTGAGCTTACAGCCATGAACCAAGTGCGATCGGATTCATCAAACCAAGCTTGAAAAGATCGATCCTTCTCACTAACACGAGGCCGACGGTGTCTTGGTAGTGGGTATCTTCTTCTTTTGGTTTCTTCTCGTATCATCAATAGAACTCCTAAAGTTGATCCCTCCTCTTCCAATCTTCTCTTTTGTTGTTGGATGTATGAACGCTGGTTCATGGACAGTAAAATCATGACTGTGTAAGAAAAGATGATGATTTGTTCTTCATACCCAATATTATCGTCTGAATCGTTGTTGTCGTCATTTTCATCATTGTCGGATTTCATGAAGGACACCATCATCAAACAAAAGATTAAATTTGGAAAGAAACTGGTGCTAGTGGATGGAGTTGTGGTTGAAGATGCGAGAAGAGAGATGTGAAGTAAAATCAAGGTGTCCAGTGATGACAGGAGCTGCCTGCGGCCTGTGACTCTAGGCATTTGTTGGGATGTGATGGGAGTTGGAGTGTTCAAACCTTTCCAGGCGACCCATGTGAAAAAACCCATGAAAAAAACCCATTAAAAAGTTGGGTTTTCATGGGTTTTTTTTATGGGTTTTCAAGTTGGGTTGTAGGTTTGTACACCGCTATAGTTTTAAGAACTTGGTGCACTCCTTGTATGTATGTAAGACATTAGAAAAATTTATCAACATACTACCAGTCCTTTTCTTCTGGGAACAGTCTGAACTTTGTGAGTAAGTGGGATCACACGTAGGACTTGTTATACAGATTGGCCCAACAAGATATGTACCACTAGTTTTTATCAACTCCAACGCCGCAAAAGATGAAGGGTTTTTAACATTTGGTGACAATCACGATACATAATCTTACGGCACTGTGAGGGCCCTAGCGTTTCGTACAATTCTCACAAGCTTCCGAGTCAAAAACAGAGCAGATCACATCAACAACACATTTCCTAAACTTCTTCACAATCATCAAGAATTGACTTACATATGACTGGTCTGTCACCAAGCTTGTGTAAACACTGATAAGTGTAACCGCCATGGTTTTCACAAGCTGAATAAATGTGTACCACAAAATGGACAGGTCCATGGAGATGATTTCACCAAAGGATTTGATCAACCCAATGAATATGAAGAATTAGAAGATGAAGAGACAAGTACTGACTGTAAAGACCTGGACGAAGATAGTTGTACTTCTCGCATTGTTGGTTACTGAATCCGGAGCCATCCGGGTAAGGCACGCAATTGAACATCCAAACCCACTTATTTCCTGTTGTCGTCAGATCCACATAAGAATCACACATGAACATCATACATGTAAGATAGAGAGTTATGAGGCGACTCCACCAGTGTGTCCGCAAGTTTCATAGGGACAATTGTATCTTGTATACCCTTGAACATCCTGAATACAAGCTTTGTGTGAACCAGAAAACGTTAGATCAGATATAGACAATAGTCGAGATAAAAGAACAGACTCACATGCTTGGCTCCCCGGATCGAACCCACCGGGACAATCTAGGCCGCCGACTGAGCTTATCTTCATAAGAACAGACAGTGTGATGCACATCACCAATATCTTGAGGTGGGGTTTGAAAGACATCAAGTTGTAGATGGGCACGGAGAGACTGGCAAGCTGGCGGGGTACTTGCTTCTTGACTAGCCATTGGACCCGGTCTATATATTACGTCTTTTGTCCTGATAGGACCCCGGCATGCACCGCAGGATGATAGTCCCCAAAATTTGGGAGGAACACCCCGATTTCCACCATGTAATTGCCACAGGAGGCCTTGTTTTTCTCTTGGAGACCTTTTCAGAAGGCACAGTTGATACATCTGGCCATATTTGGAACAAGGCCTCCAGTGGCAACATGGTGGAATTTCAAACTTAACAAAGTCCAAAGATATTCAGGTGTGGAAGATTCTTTGTCTGATAAGAACAAGGATCAGGAATCAGTCTTAGAAGAAGACTGGTGAGTGATCAAAAGAATTCCACAATACCTGATAAGAACAAGGATCAGGAATCAGTCTTAGAAGAAGACTGGTGAGTGATCAAAAGAATTCCACAATCTAAAGAGAAGCAGATTGTAAGGAAATCTAAATATGAGTTCGATGAAGAAAGAACAACAAAGTTTATAACAGTTGTTTATATATATGAGAACATTGAACACATATTGATCACGTCATGATGTTAGAAAAGAACCTCTTCTATAATGTGCACTCAAGTGTATGTGTCCTGCTTTTATAGCATGACGTCGCTACGCGACGCTCAATTAGTCCTACTCGTTTTGAGCTGTACTGGCCAGCTCAAACAAGGGACTTACATGTAATGTCCAAAAAATGGCGTGAGATCTGTCAGGGCTTTTCCCAAAAATCTACCAGCCTTATGAAACTTTTTTTGACATTTTCAAACTTCATTAGCCCCAAAACAAAAATTGTACCTGGAATTTGGGTTTTTTCTCCAAAATTTTGGGGACTATCATCCTGCGGCACATGCCGGGGTCCTGTCCTGATATGTCCAAGACATCTTCTTTGGTGTACAGCCTTTGGTCAGTCAAAATTAACTAAGTATTTCAAAGTGGCTGAAGGATCAGAAGATTTGGGAAGTGAAATCCATTTGTAAGTTGATTCATATTGATGCCTGGAAGTCCTCAAAATCTTATCCAACACCGACATCACCGCAACGAATCAAGACCGCACATCTCGTTTAGTTATGTCGTCTCTTCAATCCAAGGGCGCGGCGAACGCGCTCGTGATTATCTTCTTGTACTGTTATAATTGATCCAATTGAAGTTAAGACTGGGTCTGAATTTCAATTTTCACATTGGGGGGCTTTAGATACCATATTTCCAGCGTCTTCAGGGGTTTTGGAATGTTTTTGTGTGCAGGATAATGATTTGACATGGTTTTTTGGGTGTTTGTGCGTGGATATGAAGATGATGGAGCCATTGTATGAAGAAATGGTGTTATGACACCACGGGCATCTATTAGGTTCAATCATATGTGAAACTTAATGTGGTGACAGAGTTCACAATAAGTCTCAAATTTGGATTGAAACCTATTAAAATCCAAGGTCTTGCCTTTAATAGGTTTCAATCCAAAAATTAAGACTTATTGCGGACTCGGACACCACAACTTCGCTCAATCGGGTCTCGGACATAATAATTCCCGTGGTGTGAGACTACATAGGTCTGAAATGAATTTTTATCATCAGGGGGAGCTCTAAACACTATTCTTACATCTTCAGGGTGTATGAGCTGTTTTTATGTGGAATTTGGTTCATCAAATCAAGATTACATGATATGTGAAAAACTTGTGCACAACGCTTTCTCAGATAAATTTGAGCACAATAAAATCCCAAACACCATGAAGATGTAAGAAATTTAGTGTTTAGAGGCTGAGCTCCCAAAGATGACAAAAATTATGAGGTGAAAATTGTCAAGACTGATACAATAAGTAGAAAAAACCCACAAAAAACAGATTATGGATCAATGGCTTCGCAGGAAGCTGTGGATTGCTGTTGACCACCACTGACCGTCTTGTTTTGCAAAACAGCAAATTCTTTTACAGAATGGTTCAAAGATGAATTCTCATCCATAATTTCCACCGGTGGCAAATGTTTTTTGTCTGACTTATTTCATTCCCTTGATATCATTATGCTTGAATCCAGAATACGTGAATGTATGTCAAGACTTGTCTTGACTTGATTTTTCTTGTTTGTGATGCCAATTTTCAAGATGTTAAATAGATATAGTTCCATTTCTGAAATCTATCACACTTTCTTGCCTCGATGTAGGAAAGATCTGAGGAAGCACTTTTTGCCTACTGTTACCATGATGAGGTCTTATGACTTTGCATCAATTGCTGCTGGAAAAGCATTGTAGAAGGCGATGAAGGCGATATTGTGATTTTTTCCTGATCACAATTCAAGACCCGAGGCTGCAAAGGAAATCTCAAACTTCCGGTAACTCCAGAATCTTCAACATGGATCACATAACACAAGATACCAGGTTCATTGGAACCAAAACTTGATGTTGGACAAGGCGACGCGTTTCGCGCGGTGCTCACTAAACGACTCTTGCTTAACTTTAAGCTCACAGGAGAAAGTCACAGTTGAGGATAACTTGATTGTTTTCAAGAGTTAAGAATAGCGGATCATTCAAGTGTACATTAAGGATGCAGCTTGAAAGGATCGGATGATAATAGGGTATACATATCAATTTGAAAAAAACTACATGCTCTTCAAGTATTTTGCATGGAATTCAAGATGATCAGTCGCAAATGTGCTGACGAAGTAATATCTAAAACGCGCACAATCGGATGTACAAGAGCGTTAGTCTTGTATTCTACTAACTTGAGAAAATATCGATAGAGTAAAGGCAAGGAAATCATGCTCAACGAGTGATCGTAGTCATCTTGCTTTCGTACGTTAATCTCAGCATCTTTCAGATTCTTTATTTGTGAGAAGGCATCAATAAAATTCTCCGGAAGCAATTGTCCATCTTTATAGAATTGATCGCTGCTACCTGTTTTGTCTCACCAGTCAGTAATGTACGAAGAGAAGGAATAAGATGCAGTAGTGAATGGTTAACAGACCATAGTCGATTAAGATCTTGACTTGAGATGGTTTTGCATGTTTGATCAACTCGGTAGCATCATACTTGCGGCCCTCTTCAAGTCCTTTGGCGAGATATCCATCGTTCCCATTAGGACCTAGCAGTCATTACAGAAGTACATCGGTTCTTGCTCTATGATACGAGAATAAGATAGGAAGAGCTGTTAAGCTACTGACCATTGAAAGCCTTTTTACCCCATGCACAATTTGTAGGGTTGGCAATAGGGGCAAATGCGGAACACGACTTGTAGAGGGTAGGATGGTTCAAGTAAAGAGTCAAGGCACCGTGTCCTCCCTATGAGACATGTTGTAAATTCATTGAAGGTCAGCTCAATTTCATCCTTTTGTCAATTAAGCGGGTCCTGTTTACCATTGAGTGACCAAAGATACTCTTTCGTGTCAATTCCTATTCACACAATGTCAATTTGAGGGGAAAGGAGACCATGAGGGTGGATACAGAGGTCATCAACCTACATGCCAATATGAAAATTACTTTATCGATGTGAATCTTATCCACTTACGAGAGGCAAGTCACTCGCACCAAGGACGTTCGGAATTTCCTCTGTAATCAGTTTCTCCCTGTTCATTAACATCGTTGTTTCCTCATGATCAATAAGTACATTTTGCATAAAAGTTGACAGCAGTGTACATGAGAAATATGTACTGACATTTGATAATGCTTGGCCCACTTTGGATGAGTCGCGTTCAGGTAAAACCCCGCTCCTTCCGATGTCCAAATTTAAAAACAAATGAGTCATTGGTTTTTTTGTGAACCGAATGAGACAAACGATGTCGGTATGAAAGCTCACCTGTGCCAAAATCCCAATCATCTCCTTCACCCTCAACATCAGCTCCACGTGGGGATGTATCAGGAAAGACCAGAGCAATTCCTACAAGAGAAATGACGATCTCAAGATTTGAATGACATAGCCAGCGTGGACTCGATCAGTATGACGTCAGTTTATCACGCACCATGTTTAGCAGCTTCTGCTAAGAAACCACCCTTTTGAGGCCTGTAGTATTTTTCGGAATATATATCATTTGAGTCACCTATACACCCTCATATCTTACACAAGGTGGATTCAACCTACCCTGTGTCCTCATTGCAAGTTAGACCGGCTAAATAGAACAGTACCGGGAACTTCTTCGACGGTTCAGTTGATAACGGAACGAAAACATTGATAGAGGTCACTAAGTCACCAAGTGAAGATGATTGAAATTTGAACTTTGTGATTCGACCAGAATGAGTCTTATTACTTGAGACGACCTCTAACTTGGATGTCATCGTTGATAGAGATACAATTTCAATGAGAACAAGTTGAAGGAGCCTTGCGCAGCGTTTTATTTACCCGGATTTTACAACGTCACAGGGTTTTTTAACTTCGGGGCTGCGGTCCGACGAGCCCCGTGAGCTCGATTCCTTTAACCTCACCACTCTCAGGCTTCCTGATCGTCAAAAAAGATTCATCACAGAATGGCACAAGCACCAGTCGAACGTAAATCTATCTTCGTTGGTATGTAGTCTCAATATCCTGATTCGTCTTGCCTTGCAAAAGATGAACTGACCTTTCCTTTTCGTACCTCCATATCGAAAATATCGTCAATCTTCAAGGAAACATTCCTACCGATATTGCACCTGAGCAACTTCAAGCGGCTTTTCAACCTTTCGGGGTGATCACCGACTTACACATACCCCCGGACACCCAAACGCGTTTGTTACTTGAAATTTTCAAGGTTTTTTCCTCGAATGAATGTGATCGTGCTGTGTAATCGTTCGATAGACCCATAAGTTAGGAGAAAAATTGATGTTTCCTTATTCGGATTGGCTCTTTGATCAGGAACAAATCGTAATTTCGCCTTCATTACCTTCTCCGATGCATCTTCAGCCGTCGATGCCATTGATAATATGCATCTCAATACTTTACCATCTCATCCTCTTAAGATCTTGAAGGTGAATCTCGCAAGGGCTAATAACAAATCAGGCGCGTCAGCTGGTGCAGGACAATGGGGAAGCAAGAAGGCGATATGGGATGATGAGCAGTGGATCAAAGAGCATGCATTGAAGGATTCTACACCGACGGAAGAGCCTCCTGCGGTCGAACCTGTGTGAAAATCACTTACCGATGGCATCAACTTGTGATACACTCTAAGACGACATCCTTGGCAAGTTGGTCTAAAATCGTATTCAAGGTAGGTTGAATTGTATTATATAAAATTGAAGTAGATTTGCTCAATTCTATTTGTTTCCAAAACATTTTTGCGTTGTATTCCTAAGTTGAATCGATTTACTTGAGATTTCAACCAGTTGTGCTTCACAGTCCAGCGCTTTCGGATCAGTAATTGTCTTTATCAGCCGCAGGATGTGAAGGCATGGTCCCATCCGCGGAACTTTAGAATGTTCCTTCAAAATTGTTCTTAATGTAGCCAAGGAACATTCCTCAAGTGTCGTGACGAGACATCATCATAAATCCAGGCAAATATTTATTACTCGCCACAGTGGTCCCATCCTGTGCCTATGATCCATTCCCACAGGCTGGACAGAAAGTGAGAACAACCAACTCACTAAAGACAAGCCAGTCCAGTAACTAGTCTCAGAGCTAATAATGATTAAATGACTGAACATGAATTGATACCAACAAATGATCGAGTTACTAAGAACATTGTTTGTTAAACAGACCACTCAGTGCAACCGCACAGTGAGCATGCAAACAACATGCGCGAACAAAAGGCAAGTCGGTCGATGAACAAAGTCTAGTTAGATTGGAGACGTACATTGAGCTAGGCTCAATGCCCATCAATATAGACTGCACTTCTTCTAATGAGTCTCCTGGTCAATGTTGATGGAAGGATGTGCTGTGATCGCCAGTATATGCAGAAAAGTAATGATTTTACACAGGTGCCTACCAAGGGTAGTGGGAATGAGCGGGTAGACAGTAACAAAAGGGTGCGTGACTGCGCTTTAGTTTCAATCTACTTGGCCTTCTGAATTTGGGTTTGATGGAGGCATTGGCTATTGCTAGGTTTAGGAAGTTTGTTGAGGGATGTTCCCAAATCTCTCAGGCCATGTTCTGGTTTGTTTGATATTTGCAGACATAATTTTGAATCCTGGTGTACATTGGTAGGGGTAAGCCGGATGAAAGGTGTATCACTTCTATCACATTCATTCTTTGCAACACTGTGTTTTTATGCTAAATGGTGAAAGGCAAGGGATACAACTTCCTATTGCAGTATATCACTTGCTCTATACCTTGGAACTAAAAGTGGCATGACATTGACACCTCATCACATAAACTTAGGGTTGTGTCTGAACAGTAAGTAGAATCATTCCCTTGAAATCATTAGGGCAGTTCAGGTTTGTCTTTTTAAGACAAATTTTATGTTTCAAGACGTGATTGATGTCCTTAAACATAAACTTATATGGGGTTTCAAGCTTGGTTTTTTTGTGTGATTTTTATAAATCCCAAGAAGTTGTTTGTAAAAAAATCTTTGTAAAACAACACATTTTCAATTTGGGACACCTATAAAGGTTGCTTTGAAAAATTATGCATATTTCACAACAACGGGCAAGTTGTTGTTGCGTAAAAATACGTAAAAAAAGCTAACCGGGGGTTTCAAGTCAGGATATTTTTGTGAAACTTTTTATGAAACTGATAAGCTTCCAAAATTTTACCGTGTTTTGTTTCTGCAAATATATGGTTAACAGCATTAGTTACCTAAAGAGGTGTCCCAAATTTTTGAAATTTACGTAAAATTTTACGGTCTCAGACAACTTGTTGTACTGCAAAATACTATGGGGTTTCAAGTTCAAATTTTTTATGTATTTTTGCGCTACAGTTGCTCCAGCCTAGTCACAACCAGACTTGCTCTGCAAAATTGAAATTTGATTCCACAAATTTATACACTGAAATCCTACTTACATATCATATGTAAAAAGTCATTTTTGGGATATAAGGGAGGTGTTTGCCTCAGAAATGATTTGGTAAGTCAATCCCCTTGGCCAATTTTTTTGGGGGGCTACCAAAAAGTGCCCGCAAATAAAACCTGAGACCACCTGCTTTTAGAATCCGGTGGTTACTGAGAATGTTGGACTGAACTGTGGTTCAGTCCTGAGGTACTGATCTGTGGTGATGTCGTTGGAATCCAATCAAACGGAAACCGGAAACCGGGCGGTCTTGAGAGTTATCGAGAAGCCTTCAAAACCTCCCACTACACACATCTCATCCACCGTATTGATTGTTCACTTCAACTGGATTGTTAAGGTCTGCTCAAAAGACACTCAAATCAATAGATGTGACCTGCCCCTTCCAGTGCCCCCCTCAGGCTGAGCTATCCTCTGTCTGGTGCAAGCAATGAGGCTAGAAATCTGACAGGATTCATGTTGTGGTAAAAGTGCTCAAGAGGTCAAGTCCATCATGTGTTATAGAAGGTACAGGTGATAGCTGGGGAGAAGTTTGAAGAAGGCGGTATGGAGTTGTTTCATTGGGTGATTAAGAAGAACAAGTTAGATTGATCCCAAAGCGTAAAGCTACATTTCATTCTTGTCCTAATTAGTCTATGCTCATGTGTTCGTGTTGTGTGTGTGTTTTGTATCTTTCCTCTTTGGGATTAGCTCTTAAAAAAATTTGTCGTCGAGATTTCTCTTATAACCCTTGCCACTCTCGAACTTCGGTTTCTTCCCCATCGCGTGGAAACTGAAGTTCTTAGTGAGCACATTTTTCTCTTCCTCTTTTAATTCCTTTTCTCTCGATATTCAAACCTGGATTGTACTCACTCTTTACGATAGAACTTCCTACCACTCTATCGTATCCTGCATTCTGCAGGTAAGGCGTCGATTTTCTCCGCCCTCTCTTTACTACCTTACGAGTTCTTTAAAACTCATACAATACCTGTTCTGTCCAGGTGAATATTTCTTTTCTTATTTCTCTAAGTACTAGTGTGTGTTATATTTTGAAATGCATCGCGTGGAAACTGAAGTTCTTAAACTTCCTACCACTCTATCGTATCCTGCATTCTGCAGGTAAGGCGTCGATTTTCTCCGCCCTCTCTTTACTACCTTACGAGTTCTTTAAAACTCATACAATACCTGTTCTGTCCAGGTAAGGCGTCGATTTTCTCCGCCCTCTCTTTACTACCTTACGAGTTCTTTAAAACTCATACAATACCTGTTCTGTCCAGCATTCTGCAGGTATCATACTTCTTTCCGCGTTGAACCTCTGTCCGCGTGAACTCATTTCATGGTAGCGAGAGTTATTAAGATCCGACACCGAACTCTGTCAACAACTTCCTTCGTCATCATTGCATGTCATCCCCAGATCCTAGCCTAATCGATTCCGAAGACAACGACACGTTCTCCGACTCTGTTTCCGAAGCTGCTTCAGATACTCGCACCGAGAAACCTGATCATCTATCTAGTTCACTTCAAACCGTGACGACTATGGCAGATAAGGATGAATCAAAAGTTTTTGGTACTCCTTTACAGCAGTTTGTTCAAAAACTCAACTCAGCCATAGCCAAATATGATGTCGACACAAAGCTTACCGACGGCAATTTTCCCCAATGGTCTCTTGAAATACGCCAAGTCTTAAAGGTCCTTGACTACGACAAGTACTTGATCAAAACAGACTTCAAGTACCCGGGACTGTCCGATGATCAGCATCTGAAGGTTAAACTTGTAGTTTCAATCTGGATGATGGGGAAGATGGATTCTTTCAACAAAACTCGATGTCAGACTATGCTAAAACTTCGAGCCTGCAAGGATGTTGACGATGACGAAGAGGATGTTGGCGAGGACTCCGACGAGGATGACGATATTGCTTATGAACCCGCTCTGATCTGGTCCCATCTCAAAAATCATCATCAGAAGATTTCTGAAGCTGGTCTGCAAACAATCGAGGATGCTATAAATGAGATGAAGATTCTTCCTGGCGACTCATTCAAGACTCACTGCGACAAGTTCAACAACTTAATAGCGGACTACGTGAAATACAGAGGGAAGATCTCATCCTCACGAGCAGCCCGAAAGTTGATCAAGACTGTGAAATCCAGAATCACAGACAGCGTTTCCGAGAACATATATGCTCATGTCTCACCACTGACTCGCGAAGGAGTTGTCCAGTATCTTATTGACTACGAAGCCCGCAACGGAGGCTTTACCACACCAGCTCTCATAGAGGCTAGCCAAGCAAGTTATTCCACTGCCGCTGCCCACTCCGGGGGTGGAAGCTACCGTGATCGACACAACCGACCAAAATGCTCTGAGAACAACTGTATCTCAACTACCCACACCGCTGACAAGTGCTTCGCCAAACCTCACAATCGTGCTGCTCGAGACAAGTGGATCGCTCAGATGGAAGCAAAGAGAAACGGAACTCAGTCGTACAAGTCTCAGACACCAGCTCAAAACCCCAACGTATCTGGACTCCGTCAGCTGACACTTCCTACCGCCAACATGTCAATTGCATCCGATAATCCATTTGCTTCCCTTCACGTGTATCTTGATGACACCAATCTTGAGGATATCACAGCATCTGTATCTGTCAATTCTCTGTTCGAGTCATCCCACACTGTGTTCGACGAGGAATCTCCAGCCGCAAATGTAGTCAGTGAAAGTGGCGGTCAATGGGCCCTCTACGACACCGGAGCAAGTCATCATATGTTCAAGTCCAATACCTTGTTTTCAGAAGATTCACTAAGCAAAGTCGATGATTCCTCGAAAAGGCTGAAACTGGCAGGAGGAGAGGTCTCACTTGCAGTTCACTCCACCGGGACAGTTAAACTTAAATCTGGATCGGGCAAAATTTTTGAACTCAATAACAGTTTGTTTGTACCAGATCTCTCTCAAAACCTACTGGCAGGAGGTGCCATGCTTCGGAAAGGGGTTCAAATCATGATTCATCCGAACGATGTCAACTGCTTCTCCCTCGTCCTCAAAGGAGAAGCGCTGTTCAACGGTGTATTCGCCTCGAATAATCTGATGTATGTCGCCCTCGAACCGGTGAGTCTCAATCCCGACTCTACTGCTCTTGCGACATCTACTGAAGATTTGACTCGTCTTCATCATCGACGTCTAGGGCATCTGAACTGCAGGTACCTGAAAACAATGGGTGTTAA